TTGATAATACACATTCGGTATTAATATAGAAAGTACATTGTAAAACATACACAAAATACAAGTGATGAAAAATGAGATGAAGATGATAGAAAAAATTTTATTATCTTGCTAATTATGATGATATTATATTATCAATAGTGAATATCTCAAGGCAAATATATTCGTAGGTCAGAATTCATCCTACATGGTAATTAATATAAATCCATACCTCAAGTAGGCTTGTATAATTGTGGTATTTTCCACTTATTTGTTAGCTCTAATTAGACTGTCATTGTTTTACTTCTTAATATGGCTGGCAAAGAATTCTTAGAGGTTAAAGTGGTAATTTTGATCCCGATTTTCACCTGTGCTTGCATTATCAGTATTATCTCAATCTTTGGATTTCTTTTCAGAAGTCTTTTTAACCACCAGCTTTACAAATAAGAGCGTTGATTGGCTAAAACTAGATATGGTAATATAATCTTTTGAATGTATTTAAGGTTGAAACTATAAACCTGAGGCAATGTCAATGCCTAAAGAGAGATTAATGTCCATGAAAGAGCAGAGGAATCAGTGTTTCCTTTGTGGGGCTCCTTCTCTCTCATTCTTCAGATACAATACACCGCACATGACCAATTTACTTGGGATCATGTAAAGACACTAGGGTGGATAAGTATAATAAACATTATTATAAATGCTTCTTTTTTTTGGTTATTGCATCATTACATTTTCAGACATTAAAGAAAATAAATAAATAAAATTTCTAATCTTCCAATATCACAATGAATTGCTTGCTCACTCCACTTTGGAGACCCCTCCCTCCTTAGGTGAATTGCTTACTGACTCTAGTTTTCCTCATCTGTGAATGGGGACAATGTCACATATCTCATCAGGTTAAGTAGATGAAATGACATGTATACAGGTTTTTTCACAACTTCTGGCATTTAATTTAAAATAAAAATAAAAAGAACTTGCAATTAGAATGGTAACTACTCTATTACATAATTGCCATGTATGCATTCTTGTTACTTCTAGGCCTGATTTAAAAACACAAGCAAAACCTCTTGTCAATGCTCTTTATATGACCACAAGAGCTATAGTTTCTTCTCATCTCTCCTCCTCCAAACAAAGCCAAATAAAACCCCAAAACATTTTCCAAGCCCTTTCAGTTTACAAAATAAAGATTCTGAGCATTTAGTAATGTTTTAATTAACATGATAATTATTAATAGTGAAGACCTGCTAAATTCTCTATGTCAGATAATTTTATTATCTATCTCTCATCTTTTCATTCAACAAAGTGGTTAAGAAAACACACACACACACATACAGTGTGCTAAGCATCCAGCTAATTGCTGAGGTTTCAAAGATGAATTGAACTTGTTCTACACCCTCCAGGCACTAACCATCTAGTGGAGGATACCAAACAAATAATCACATCAAAGTGATAAGTGCTCTAATGGAGGTACACATTGGTTGCTATGGGAGCAGAGTAGGACAAGCTTCCTCTGCTGCGGGGAGGGCAGGAAGGACCACTATAAGGATGCTGGTTCACAGGTGAGTCATGCATTTTTGTCAGAGGGAAGTGTGACCAATACAACCTCTCAGGATCTAGAAGATAGACCAGGTTTCCCAGAGTGCAGGCATTTTGGGGCAATCAACAAGGCTGGTAGAGACCTGTCCATGCACAGCATTGGGTGACATGCTAAGAAGTTTGAAATTTATCACAACAAGGATGGAGAATAAACAAAGATTTTAAAACTAGAGAGTGATATGATCACAATGAAAACTATGGTTCTATTTTGGAGGAATGATTGTGGAGAGACAAAAATCTATTGAGAATGCTCATTGGAAAAAAGAGGTGAGTGCTTATTTCTGTAATAATTTTATTTACTAATTCTAAACTTTTCACGAAATTAAACAACATCTGATTCAATTCGTCAAAGTTTAGTTTGCATTACTAAAGATGAAGTATTCATTTCTTAAATGGTCTTATCTGCTCCTGTTTGAAGTCAGACAACATTTCAGTTCACATTAACAGTTTGTTAGGACTAGAAGCTTCCTAACTTTATGAATGGAATATTTTTTCATGAAGGTTTTGTGACAGATATCAGTTTTCAAACCCAGCATCTACTCTATACAGAATGTCAACCAACACAGACATATGTAACAATTGATTATGGCCACACAGGCATGAAAAAGGGACTTATACCCCATGATACCATTATGACTCATCAAAGTCCAAAAGGAAAAGCTTCACATGAATATAACATCCTGTGCAGCTTCCTAGGGTCCTTTTAGCCTCCAACCATATTTGTTTTTGTGTGATTCTCTGCAAAACCAAACCAAACCAAATAAACAGCCTCCCCCCAAACCCCCATCATTTTCTTCCTTAGCATTAATTGTTAAATTATGCTTGACTTCAGAGATGGAGATCATACTGTATGTTCTACACTCTTCTTTTTAGACTGAACAAGTAATACTGCTTTTTCATTTCTCCTAAGTTTAGGCCTTATTTTAAAAAATTCCTATTTGCAGCAGTACAAGCTACAAACAAGATGAATCTTCAGAAGGAAGACCTGAAGGGAGAAGATGAAGCATTCTTAGACCAATGTGAGGGGAAAAAGAGTTGCAATGTATTTCATCTTTGCTCCCAATGATAGATGGTATTTTTCCATTCCCATACTTGTGCATGTATGTAGATACCAACCCATTCAAGTACTGCATCAAAATTGTATATGATGTGAAGAATATACATGTATAAAAAGGAGTGTTTTCTTCTTCACTTTTTCTCTGACAGAAAAAAACCAAAAAAAAAAAAAAAAAAAAAAAAACCCCGAAAAACAAAACAGAAGGAATGCCTAGTCTCTTCCAGTGTCTTAATAAAATGGTTGTTCTTACTGAAATTTGGCATGGCAGGTGGAGGTAGAATCATAAGGGGATAAGGGAATTACTTACAAGGAAATAGAGGTGAAGTCTTCACTTTTTAAAACCTGCCATGTGAGGTTGGCATGTCAGAGAAACAAATTAGGCCCCCAAAAGTTAAAACCTAACACTTCTCAATGAAATAAGCATTGTCATCAAGTTAAATCACTTTACAGTAGATGACTGTTTCTGGCTACATTATTAATTGCAACTTAATAGGGAGTTAAAAGTTAGTATTTATGATATATATGTACTACACTACTCATCTTGTTTAAAATTTCTCACTATATGTTTTCCAGTTAAAGTTATACCAGCATACCCTCAGGCAGAAAACCAAGTTCTTACAATGGATTCTTCAGGGCATACTATGTTCTATTTCCTTAGATGTGTTATCTTTTGTAGTCTGAGGTTCACTTTGGAATAGACAGAAAATGTAGAAGCTAAAGTTAACAAGCAAGTAGGAAGACCTCAGCAATCTATAGGGTGGGTCATCACTAACTCTCCCAGCCACAGTGAAAATGGTGCCCTTTCAAGCTCTACTTCTTTCAGCAGTGTCCCAGGGATGTAAACAATTCTTGCACTTAATGACCACATGCAGTATTTGGCAGTACTTTGCATTGTTTCTTGTCTTCAACTTATCCAGCATCCTAGAACTGCATTTCAGACCAGGTTGCTAAAAGAGAGCCAATTTTGCAACAGTATAAATGGTCTTAAACAGGATTTTCCTGGGGGGGGGGGGATCCTCAACCAAATAGTCACAGCGCACTTTGAATGACTAATTTAAGCCATTACATTACAAAATAAGGGATAAATCATACTTTCATAATGCTACTTCATAGGAACAGTTTTAATTTTAAGAGTCAAGCACCTACATTAATCTGAGTCTAAAATAATAGGTCCCTGATTTACCTGATTTAAAATCTAACATTCTTTCACACTTCATAAAACTAAAAATAAAATTGTCTCACCAAACACTGACCTATAGGGCCGGCCAATATACTGCATTTCAAGGAAAATTGAAGCAAGAAGTCTCAAAACCACGACGTGCCGGAGATTACAGTTTGTAGCCTTAATTGGTCTTAAATGTAGGGTGAGAGAGAAGAGACTATGGTCTGTAGAGAATAAGAGATGTATTCCTCTTCTTAAATCAGAAGCAGACCTCACGCTTCAATGGCCCCCCAACCTGCCCGCCCCGCCCCCAGGGGTTGTTTTCCCATATTTTTGTCTGTTTCACAGGAAGATGACAGGTGAGGGAAGGTTAAAGGGCTGCTTCTAGTTCACGAAGTAAACAGAGGGTTTAGGGCGGGTTTATTTATTTATAAGGCGTTTGGCCTCTCAGCTGTTTCTCCTTCATTGGCATTTGAAAGCTTGCAGTCCTTTAGAGAAGAGACAGATTTGGCAGGAGTGTTCTTTGTGCCCGCCTCCCGTTTTACTGGGTAGGGGGAAGGAGGCAGATTTATAATGAAAGCCTTGAGGGGAGGGAGACAGAAAAAGTTTCAGCAGGCATGATAATGCCCGTTTTTTCCACAGCCAACACTATGCCACAAACAGCTTTGGTGTCACTCGGAGACCTACGTTGTCCCCTCCCTTTCTCTATGCAGGCTCGCACTGACAGGCGGAGGCACAGTTAAATTCCAGCACCTTCTCCACATACCCCCAAACTACTACGCGCTATTACTACGATTGCCCTCCCTTTCGCTAGGCGTTCTCCTCCTCCCCAGCCTCCCTGGAGGAGCCCCGCAGCGGCCCTGGAAGAGGACTGCCAGGAAAGAGATAAGGGGCGCCCAAGTCCAGCAGGGCTTGGGTCTCTCGCGTCCTGCGCAGTTTCCCTGCTCCAGGCACAAACACTGCCCGAGAGCCGGCGCCTTGCAGACACACACGGATCCACGCATACAGTAGAGCTGTCTCAATCCACATTCTTGCATACCCCCCTCCCCCCCCCCCGCGCTCCCGGAGTCGCTGAGCGGGGCGAGTGACAGGCTCGTCCCGCCAACCCGCGCCCGGGCGGGCAGGGAGGAGCGGCGCGCGGGGCCAACTGCGGCGCGTCTTCCGGCGCCCGTGGAGGCGGCGAGGGTGGGACGCGGGGCGGAGCCGGAGTTTAGGAAGAGGAGGGGATGGCTGTCATCAATGAAGTCATATTCATAATCTAGTCCTCTCTCCCTCTGTTTCTGTACTCTGGGTGACTCAGAGAGGGAAGAGATTCAGCCAGCACACTCCTCGCGAGCAAGGTAAATATAACTTACAACTCCTTTCTCCTCTTTTCCCTCCCTCTGGCCTCTCCGCTGCAGCCACCGGGCAAACCCCTCCGGCACTGCGCCGCCTTCGCCTGGGATTATTCATTATTATCCTAATTATTATTTATTGTGCATGCACGGAGACCAAAACAAACAGGCGGGCCAACCGCCACAACAAAAAAGCCCGCCTCCTCCCCGCGGGCCTCAGGTGGAATGCTCTAACGACAGCTCCCGGGCGGCGGTGGAAGAAACGAGAAAGTTTCAACCGAACCTCGCTGCTCTAATAATAACAGTAATAATTACTACTTCACGGGGGCAAGAGGGGGAGAAATCCCAACAAACCACAGCCCTGACTCTGGGTAGGCAGTGATGCGATGCCAACTCAGCGTTGCAACACACGCTCGGCCAGGTTGCAATCCCCCCATCCCCTTAAAAGCTGAGATGGAGAGGGCTGGTGGCAGGAGGAGAAGGGCTGGGGGAACCAAGGAGGATAATGGAAACGCGACAGTTCATCCCAAGCAATCCTCCCCGGAAGAGTTGGAACGGGAAAGAAGGGCGAGGAGCCCGGGCTGGCGGCAGGTTGCCAATGAACGCGGCTGCCACCCTCTTCCCGGGTACTTGTTTAAAGGGCTCCGGCTGCGGATACGCGAGCAGATCGCCGTGGGAGAGCCGGAGCCGGCGCGCCGAGGAGGCGGCGGCGGCCACTATTGCAGGGTCGGTGCATGCTGGATCGGAGGTGTCAACCTCCACTCTCTGCGTTCCCTTGGGCGGGCAAGGGGGCTCTGACTGATAGGCCTTTAGGAAAGGGGGCTGCCCTGGGATCTGTGCCCGGGGCGCTGCGGAGTCTCTATTTCTGGTACTGGCAGCAGTGTGGGTTTGGGTATTGAAGTTCTGTGTGTCCGGCCCCGGCCACAGTGCTCAGGGCCGGGGGTGTGTGGAGCAAGGAGGCCCCAAAGAAGGAGGTCGGAGGTGCCACCCGGGCTCCGTTACCCTGCCCTCCCCTTCCCTTCCCCGGGTTTGTTTTCTTTTGCTTCGTGTCTTCCCCTGGCTACCGCCGCGGGCACACGGGGCGCCTGCGATCGTTTGGGTGCTAGGGGAGCTCTGGGACCCGGGAGAGCCGCGGCGGCTGCGGGCCAGGGAGGCCATGATCCGGATAATCCTCTCTGCCTGACTGTCACAAACAGGACCCGCGCGCACCCGGGCAGCTGCGGTGGCGTTCTCCCGGGAAGGGGAAGGGCTGCGGTGGGGAGGGAATAAGGGGTGGCGAGGGCGAGAGGCGGGGAGTCTGGGTGGAAGCCTCCTCCCAACGATGACACGCACCCCTTCCTTCTCGTTCCCTGCTTGCGAGTTTGCTTTATTCCCATCCCAACCTGGTTTACCCCTTCCTCTGCTCTCCCTCCTCCAACCCGGCCGTCTTCCCCCCTCCCGTTTGCGTTGCAAAACACGGCCATGCCATCTGCAAAGGTGTCGCGATGCACTTCCCCAAATAACCGGTCCAGCGCGCCACCCCCTAGGCGCCCTCGGGCCACAGGGCGCACTCTGAGCACAGTGCCACCGGGTGCCCCGCACCAGGCCTCGCAGCCTGCAAGCAGTTGCACCGCGCGGGGCGGGGCGCAGCGGTGCGGACTCCAGCGGACACCCGCGTCCTGGCCAGGGCACTCGGGCCGGTTTCCGGTACACGCGGGGAAATCGCCTCCTGCCAGTGTCTGCGCGCTCGCCCCCGCCTCCGCCGCCTGGATTGCATTATTTTTATCCGGGTTGCCGTTTGCAGGGGATGTTGGTGAGCAAGGGGCTGGTCGGGCTGCGTGGGGGGTGGGGTGGGGTGGGGTGGAGGGAAGTTGGACGTGGATCAGGCAGGAAAAAAAAGTTTGGCAGGGCAGCTAAGTAGGGTGGAGGGGTGGGAGGGGGCGGTGAGATCCCGCGGCTCGCGTCTCCGCGCCCTCGGGGCAGGCGCGAGTGTGTCTGCGCGTGAGTGTGAGTGTGTGTTGTGCGCGCCGGGGCCAGTGCTTCGGGAGCAGCGCGCTGATAGCGGCTCCCGCCCGCGCCCTCCCTGGGAGCCCGGGGGGGACTAGGCGAGGTTCGGTGGCAAGGGCTGGTGGGGGTGGCGTGTGCGTGTGGCTGTGTAAGTGTGTGTGTGCGCGCGCGAGCCGCGGAGAATCAGGAAGTCACAGCAGCGAAGCGCACACAGACATGTTTGATCGCCGTGACATGACGCGCGCGAGGGAGGAAGCGGCCGCCGCGGGGGCCGGGCCGCGGGCGCCGGCCTAGGTCTGCAGCGTTGAGACCCGCTGCCTACTGCCGCCTGCGCCGCCGCCCTGGCTGCGCGAGCCCCGCGCCCCTTTTTGTTCCGCGTCCCTCAGGTAAGGAGCTTGCGCCGCCGCCGCCCGCTGCGTGCGGAGCTTTCTAGCTCTTTCCCTGCCGGCCCCCTCCGGTCTCTCGGTTCGCCTTTCCTGCAAAGTCAGGCAGGCGGGGGAAATGGGCTCCTTGTCCTTCTATCGATTGCGTGGAAAACTTTCCAGCGGGAGGCACCGCTAGGGAGAAGAAGGAGGCCTTGCCGGCTGCTGTCGCTTGTCAGTTCTTTCTCCTCCAGGTCCAGAGAGTGTGAGTCGCGGCTCCCAGCGGCTGTTGCACATTCAAACTTCGGGCCTAAATGTGTTTCCAACTCTCGCAGGATTTACTCTAGCAATAAAATAAATATTCCAAGTTGTCCACTCGCTCTTGCCAAGCAAGCATTTGGATGTTTTAAGACAAGGACGAAGGCTTGGAGTCGAGGGAGTGGGGGTGTTGTGCAGAATCCATTCCTTATTCAGTGTCTGCACTGAGTGTTATGTAATTTTAGTAGCACATGGGTGCAAAGCCCACACTGGGCTTCTCCCTCCTTTGTTTATATAACTTTTGGGAGAGTTTTGCTAGGTTGTCTCCTCATTTTCCTCTTCCCTAATGTCATGGAGGCTGGTGCTTTTGATAAAGCAAATCTAGCCGGGTTCGTGATTTTTTGGAGAGCTGTCATCATTGTCTCCTTTCTGGTTATTATGTAGACCTGTATTCCTTTGTATGTGTAACGTTGAAGCATAAGGAAGACGTTAAGGATACACGTTTGTTTACTGCATTGAGTTGTTATTTTTAACGTCCCTGCGTTCCTAATAGCAGAGTTAAATCTTAAACTTCCATTTCAAAGGACTTTTTGAATTTACACCTGGTTGTGTTCTTTGCTTGTATGAACAGAATGCTCCTGTGAACGGTGAGATTGCTTGGGTTGTTGTTTGGGGGTTGAGTAGCAGAAAATTCCTGCTCACCTACCCAGGTAGGACTCAGAAATCCCTTAAAACTCTACTCAAAAAAAAAAAAAAAAAACCAACAAAACAAAACAAAACCATGCCTGATGCTGTGTGTGTGTTTATATATTTGTATATGCACAAGCAGATGTTTTCAGTAGTATTTTCTACCAGTTACTTGGAGGGTCACTACCTGAAGCCTGTTGGCCTCACTGCAGTTGTTAGGCTTCAGTACTATTGGTAGCACCCAGGTGAAGTGTTAAGAGGTGTGGCAGGTTTGAATCCTAGTTGGTGCATTGTTATGCAAATTGGGGCACACTTTTTCTTGTAGAAATCTAATTGCCCTTTTATTAGCCCAGATTTTCTTTTTTAATGTTCCTTTTTAACTCAGATGTTTACTATTGGAAAAGGGGATTTAGAGACACCTGTTAGGTTCAAAAGCTATTTATTAAAGTAGACTGAGGGAAAAAAAAACTTCCTCTGTAGATCAGAGGTCCATCTACCTTGTTGATGGCATTAAAGAGAGATACTATATTGGTAAAGAACATTTTAAAATAAATTAGGGATTGGGGTATCAGAACCCTCCAGGGCAAGAGAAGGAGGGCTTTCTTCAGTGCAGCCTTTCTCTTATGAGATATATCAGTTACATCCCAGCATTGGCACTAGCTTCACTGTGGTGTTTCACAGAAAATATTCACCGCAAGAGCATGTTCAAAGCAGCCTTAGATCTTTTCTTTTGTTCGTTTTTAAAGTGGTTTTTGAGCATTTCTCATCAAGTTTCTTGAAAAGTGCTTTGACCAACACCTGAGGCTTAGAATTGACCAAAAAAAAAAAAAAAAAAAGTGCCTCTGCTTGCATTATATTGTTAATGCTTGGATTCTGTTTCAAGTATTCCTAACAGAGTATAACTAGAAAGTAATTCTTTGTAGATAATTATTTAAGACTGGTTTTCTTTGATTAAGTTTAAGATAAGTCAGTCTACAGGTCATTGTAAAAGCTCATGCCATTCTTTTCTAGAAGGAAATTGGGATCCTTTATAATACTGTAATATTTTGACATTTTTATTTTAAAGACTTATTATGTATTAGAGCAAGACCATAAACAGAAAACTCTCATAAATTATAAAAGTGACACTGTCCTCCAGTGTTGTCATGTTTTTTTTTTTCTCCTTTAGAAGTCTTACTTTGTAAACAAGGCCTTTGTCAAATTCTCCTAGCTCAGCAGCTTTTTGATACCCCAGAGAAATAATAAATCACTATTTATGACATCTTGACATGCTGCCATGAGGACAACTGAATTATCACAAATAAAATGCTAAGGACTATTTCCCAGTTCTAGCAAGTTGAGGGACTGCTAGTAAGGCCTAATTTTAACCACCAGAAGTTTTGACTGTTTCTGGTTAATGTGATTTTAAAGGAAGAAAGGGAGAGTTAGTTGTTAACATGAGTGGCCTTAGAAAAATCTATACATAAGTCACATTTCCCTTCTACATGATTTCTGGTGAACAGATCAGACTATTTCCATAATGTGAAAAGCTACACTTGGGGGCTACTGCTGATTTCTTTTCACTTTTTTTAATATTAAAAAAATTACCTTCTAAATAATTCCTTTTCTTTAAATTTGGTATTTCAGAGATTGTTTTTGGCCAATAGAGGGATGCTAAATTTTCTGTCACCTTTGAAAGAGTTCTTATTGTGAAACTTTAATATATTAATCTAG